GAAGATGATGAAGAGTTTGCAACAGGAGATGAAGCTGAGGTAACAAGAGATGATGAAGAGATAGAAGATACTGAAGAAGTTGCAATGGATGAGAACAGCAACGAAGAAAATGAAGAAGCAGAAGAGGATGAAGAGGAGAAGTCAAGAAGAGAGTCAAGAGGCTCAGAATGCAGTGACTATGAGCAATGGGTTGAGAACAATTTGTTGATTCCAAGTTCATACGAAGAACCGTTGGACTACAACCCAGGAGAAAGCTCCACTGCTTTGAGGATCATTGATCCATTGCCGCGTGACAGTTCCGGCAGCATCATACGAGATCCAGAACAAGAAGGTCGATGAAGGACCGCAGTTTCACGAAATGCAAAAGAAGGTGAGATAGCGCGAGACACCGCGCAGTGCACTCGTTGCAGTGGCTCGAAAGAAGCGAAAACGGCGCGCTTCCAATCTTGAGAGTGCCCAAGCTGAAGCATGCTCAAGTTGCAGGATAGGCGGGGACGTGGTGTGCCGTCCCACCAGCTTGGACGCGTTTGATGCAACAGTTGTGAGCGAGGAAGAGCGCCAGATCCAGAAGAAGGCAAACTGTTCAGGAGTGCACTTGGACTGTGTTTGTACTTGAGTCAGGAGCGCATTGACATCCAGCGCAGTGTGAGGATTCTGTCGACATACATGGCAAATCCCACTAAGACAGCAATGGCTGCAATCAAGAAGCTCACACCGTGCCTGCAGACAACCCAAGACATGGTGCTGAGGTTTGAGAAAACTGAGGAAAAAGGCAGCGTGTTTTGCAGGTGGAAGCATCTGTCAAGTGAGCAGGTGAGAAAAGGAAGCCGCGTCCACTGTCTCGAGCTTTTCAGTGATAGTGATTGGGCATCGTCAAAGGCGTCGAGGAGATCGACTAGCTCAGGCCTGATATTCCACACTGGGAGTTGCGTTCGTTGGCATTCTCGAGGCCAGACTTCAACAGCCCTTTCAAGCATGGAGGCAGAGGTGTTGGCGGCAACGAGCCTTTTAGCAGAAGGCATTGCTCTCAAGCAAGACCTTCAGTTCTTGGTTGGATGCAAAGAAGATCCAGGAGACAACAGTAAAGTGGAGATGAAGATGTTTCTGGATTCTATATCGGCTCAGGCCTTTTTCCAACGCCTGGGACCAGGAAGGGGGGCGAAGCGTTTGCGCGCCCATTTTGTAGGGGCAAGAGGCCATGCGCCGTGGATGGTACAAGATTGGAAGAATCCCGACCAAAGAGAACCCTGCCGACCTCAATACAAAGGCAATGTCAAGAGAACGAAGAGAGTGCTTGGCGAGACTCATTGGTTTGCATAGCGATAGCTTTCAGCCAACAAGCATTCCTGGAGTCCATCGCATTGTGCAGATGCTCATGGTGGCAGGTCTTTTGAGAAGGGATGTTCACCTGTTGAAGACAGTTGTGATGGAATGAGAAGCACAGTGATCCAGAGCACGTGGTGCATCTGTTTGTTGAGCATTACAGTTCTTTTCTTGCTGTTTGTGATGTCAGTGATGGTGTTTCGGATTCAGAAGATCAGGACTTCACTGGCCAGATATCGCGTAGCATGGCGAGAGATTAGAGCAGAACTCAACTTGCGGTCCAGCGAGAATCCACTACGACTTGCAGGTGAAGATGAGCACCATGAAGGTGAAGAGGAGGATGGAAATGAAGACGATGATGAGTTTCCTTATGACAGGGGACCAAATGGTGGAGACTCCATGGATGATGATGGCTACATCTATGGAAGGTCTTGCAATACACGAACATCTACCCCCAGAAGAAGGATTTCACAGAAGTCAAATGGAGATGGAGCAGCCGGCAGAGGAACCAGTTCAGGAGGAGATGTTGAAGCTGAAGATAGACCAGAGAGAGTGATGCATTCAGAAGGATCACACACAATGGATGCACCGGATGAGCAAGATGACAAAGGAGAGAAAGAAGGTGATAAAGAAGACGAGAACAAGAAGAGGAAAGCAGAAGATGATGCTGAAGAAGGAGGACAACAAGAGAAAAGTTCATTTTCAAGAAGAGTTGAACCAAGTTCGTCTTCAAGAGGACCAGAAGGCGAGGCTGCAGAGAATGGTGAGACAAACATTTTCAGGCCAAGTCTTTCAGACAGAGTGGCGGCTAGTCTTGCGCGCTTTGGCATGCGGCAAACTATGCAGAGAGCTATGGAGATGGAGTCTCAATGAGGACGACCTGGTTTGTGCTTGGCTCAATGAGGACGATGGTTGTTTGGGGTTTGGCTGAAATCCCAATTGAACAAGGCTGATCAACGAAGGGCATGGACCGGAGGTTTCACCGACCTTAGCATGTCCGAGCGCATTAGAGGCCTTGAATACCAATGAGACCCTGGTTTGAGGAGAGACATTCGATCTGCAAGGAACACACTTCGCTACTTGCAGTAGTTGCTTTTGCTGTGTGGCAAGCAAGATCCTTTAGCCTACCATGCGGCAACCATTACATTCCACAAGTGGATTGAAAGCGGGTCAAGTCTAGACTTCTTCACGTACAATGAGGCGAGTCCAGGGTCCAGGAGGAAGCAATGAGACAGACAATGAGGAAGAAGAAGAAGATGTGATAGATGAGGCGGAAGAACAAAGGATTGGCGCTGCTGGTCCAATAGAAGAAAGCGAGGACCCTGATGCATGGATCGAAAGGAACCATGACCAGATGGAAGTCGAAGAAGCAGAAGAAGAATGCTATGAATTGGAAGCAGATGATGAGTTGATGGCGCCAATGAGAACGACGAGAAAGAAAATGTCGACCCCAGAAGCATGAATTCAGAATGAGCTGGCAAGATGATTGCAATCAGCGCGCGTGGCATGCAATGAAGCCATGAAGCTGAGTGAGAGAACCAGCTAAGTTTCACTAGATGGACTGAGATCGAAACTCGTAAGAGGCTACGAGTTTCCAAGGCGGGGTGTCCAAACTTAGCATGACCCCTGCGTGCAGGATGACACACACTTAAATGAGAAGTGTACCGACGTGAACAGTGGCTCAAGCATAGCCGGAAAAGAAGCGTGTTTTCGTGAGAGATTTAGCTAAATTTTTACGATTTAGTTAAAAAAATTGAAAATAGTTATGTTTCAAACTCATTTTAGTTTTTTTAGGAAAATAAAGAAAATAGTTAACACATATTTTAACTATTTCTTACAAATTTAAGTTTGTCGAAATACGATTTAACTAAATTTACGAAGTTTAGATATGATATATCTTAGTTTTTAACTAAGCCGGTCTATTGGGAGTCGTTGTCCGGTCCTTAGTTGTCCAGATGAAACGAAGAAGAGAAGAAGAAAAAAACAGAAGAAGAGAGACAGATGGCGGCACTTACTGACCCAAGAAAGGGTGTGAAAGATAGTGCGTAGCCAGTATGTACAGTGTGTGGATCACCTAGTGCCTGTTTCTTAGGTAGTTTTTCGTTTTTGATGACTTGGGGTTGGAGCTGACTTTGGTTTGTGGTCCTTTGTTGGTGCTTTGCTTTGACCAACTTGGCAGTGTAACCTTTGAGAGGGTTTGGTGTGGCTAGACGTGGCTAGAGAAGTCCTAGAAAACCTTTGGTTGTGCAGTGTGTAGTTGGAGACTGTTTGAAATAGTTCTCTTTAGTTTTGTGTAGGTTCGAGATGACTGTGAACAGTTTTGACTCTTTTAAGGAGAGTTTGACAAGCTTTGGCGGAACTTTGAGAAACTTTGAGGCAGTCTGAACCGACTGTGACTTTGGCTCAAGGAGCGGGGTCGAAAAGGGAAGCTGCCGCATCCGTGTTTTCACATACACACATTGTTTGGGGATGGTCGCTATGATGTGTTTCAGAAGGCGTTGCTTCAGTTGTAACTCAAAGTTCCCACAATTCATGGCAAGAGGGGCCAGGCACTTTGAAGAGTATGGTGGGCAGGTATAATATGGTGCGAAACAAAAGGCCGGTGGCTTTGCAGGTCTTGGGCTGATGGACGTTGGCGAATGGCAAGGGTGAATGAGGGTGGGCCGCGAAAGCAAGTTACAAAAAAAAGTTTTTTCAATATTTCATGACTGAAAATGTCGCCGCATGTAATGAAATCAAATTTCAACCAGCAACTTTGCTAAATTTGTCCACTTCCTGTCTGTGTGTGCCCTACTGCAACAAGCGTGAGATTTCAAACCGAGACGGGGCATCAACTTCGGTTGATTCCGTAGGTGCCCGCAGGTACCAAGGCTGGATCAACGAATCACTCTCCATCCTAAAGATTCTGTCCAAGATGCCCTTAGCATTGTACTACTGGTTGTGCACGAGATCCGTGTATTTGTGCACCACTATAGTGCCAGCAAGCATCACGACAGAGCATTGTTCAAACACATGAGACCAACCAAGATCGCAAGTAGTTCACACAGGAAAATTATGGTCTTAGAGGAAGGGGCCGAGGCTGGAATGAACGAGTGCTTCGCGCTGTCAGGGCCAACAAGTACCCAAACCAGCCACGTCTTGGCCACCTGTGAGAGAAACCCCAACTCCACCGAGCAGTAGCCGAGGAGAACGAGACTTGGAGGACGTCGTTCGACGGCCCAATTTGCCGGCTAGAGCCAGTGAAAAGGCTTCGGGCTCTGAGGGAGAGGCCCACAGGCTTCTCCATTCAAGCCCCGAGCACTGAGCATGGCAGGCTTGCAATCATGGTGAAAAAGGCTAGGAATTGCTTCCATATCGCCAAAGTCGAAGCAATCGACTGGCAAAATTGGTGGGACAATAATACCCGTGAGGACAGTTTCACAATTTCAACGAATTGTGCAGCTGAAACTTTTCACGCACCATCGCACTATGAAAACATTGGATAAAGCCGCTAGCCGCTAGCCTACTCCTCAAACCTGAAGCTGTGGTGAATCTAATTGATTCTGAGAGACTGTCCCGACCCTGGTAAATGTTGATTCTTGCTTTCGGACACAACACATGCAAGGTTTGGTTTAATTTATGGGATGTTGTATTTTCCATGCCAAGACGGCAAATTTGCCAGGATCTTGGACACAGGCTGGGTATCGAACCTTTTGGCTCAAAAGGAATGTAGTGTTTGAGATAAGTTCAATAGATTTTTGCAAGGTGTCTGGTCTGCAGGAGAATCTCCCCGGTGGATGTAGCAGTTCTCTATGCCCAAAAGCAAGTTGAAGATCTCCGACCTTCCAGGAATATACATTGACATTGGGCCTTCTTTGTGTTCACGCGCCAAACTTCAAGCTTTTTCACGTGATGGTCCACAACGGCTTTCGTCCAAATGGCTCCATCGTATTTTTTTTCTTTTTTCTGCACTTCGAAGGGACCCGCTATCCTCAGCTATCCTTTTGAACAAAGGACTCTGATGAGTCCATAACTTCCCCAACAACCAAACAGTCTTTCTCTGCTGGAGTGACTTAGAGGTGATCAAAAAGACTCCGGCAAAACTCTGGCAGACTTGGAGGGTTTGATCCCATCCCACTGAGGTGTAACTCGGTGAGAACGGCTGGTCCAAGCCTCAGTCACTGACTCGTTCTCTTGATTTCAATCGACAGCAAGAACGACAGCAAGCAGAACGAGACGCAGCTCACCGTCATGTGTGGAGACGCGAGGCTCACCATGTTTCCTCTAGTTCTTCGACCAGTGAACCTGCGCATGTTTGAGCACCGCACATGTGGGACCTCCTCTTAATCAGCGAGAGGACTGCAGACTGCAAAGCACACAAGAGTGTAAACCTCGCATCAAACGAAGAGGTTGTTTTCAACAATCAACTCTGGGAAGATATGAGGAACACATGGACACTCTTAGGGGGCAAAGCTAGGTCTGATCCCAACCTCTTTTGATGTCCGAAATTTGCTCGACCCCAAGCATCCAGACCTGTTAACTCCTCAGTTCTACCTGTGAACTCTTCAGTTTTACCCTACCTTTTTTTGCCAAAAGAGACCTACCCCGACCGCACGGTGCGCTTTTTGGCGCTCATTCTGCCAGTAAGCACCCGCAGAGACCGCAGCAACCACCGCATTCTGCCACCTCTCGGCCATGGCCAGGTGCAAAAGTCCGCCTCGCGGCTGCTGCTCGCGGGGACCCATGCGGCGGTCGAGGTCACGGATCATGGGACTCCTCTAGAGGCGGGGTTGTGCAGAGGTGGATTGGGGTGGGTGTGCACAGGTGGTTTGGTGGTTTTGTGGGAAGTTTTGTTGAAACCGAAGATTGTGATGGAGTGATCAGTTTACTCAGGAGGGTGGAGGCCATCGCTAGTAGATTGGAGGCCATCGCTATTCGGTTCCTTTTAAAGACATGTAAAGAGGACGCAAGAAAGAAGAGTCAGTAGAGCACATGCGGCTGTTCGTTTGGGCATGTTTGGTCATGTAAGAGACGGCAGGTGCAACAGCAGCCACCCGTGGCTGTCACCTGGAACGGGCCCGGGGCTCCCGGAGGCGGCAGTGAAGGTCGGAGCGACCTGGGCAGAGCTTGGACCTCTTGGGGCCGCTTCAGAGTCCAACCCACCCGGAAAAGAGTGGTCAACCCACCAGCGGAAAAAGCCACTGCAAACCTCATTCAACCTTCCGGAGTGCTCAGAGCAGCCTTGACATGATCTGGGACCCAACAGAGCTCATTTTGTTTGAGGATGACCAATGATCTCCAGCCACGTCAGATGAACGTCTTGGCCCGGGTCGTCAGTGACTGTCTTGCGGGAGAGAGGTCCCCCAGACCTTTGGCACGCTGTTTGCAGGGTTCTGGTGTGCATGGGGGTTGATGGGTGTGTCTAAGAGGATTCCAACGGAAGGCGAAGAGAAACGCTACAGAAACTTCTGTCCCATTTGGAGGGGTGTTCGTGGCACATTCACCTAAGAACCAAACCCCGACTTTTGCCCAGCAGGACCTTTCTGGCAGGACCGAACCGCCTTTCATTCGACACCAGCCACAAGTGGCACCTGCTTTTCTCACGACTGCCCACCATCAATCCGTTGGTTGGGTCCTGAACCCCGTTCCTTTTTTCTTGGGGGCCTGGACACACGACCTGCTCTCAGGCGCAGCCTTTGTGGCAGGGTACAGCTAGATGGCCGCATGTCGCTTGGTCTTGCATCAGATGATCTGAATCAACAGACCTGTTCAAGATCTTTCTCCATTTTGATCTTTTTACCCCAAACAGTCGGCTCAGCGTCTGGCAGACCTGAGACACTCCAAAGGTTTCTAGTTTCAACGTCTGCCGAAGTTGGCGGAGTCCGGCTCGAGCCCAGGCAGTGGAGAATCTGTTAGCTCAAGGATCCGGTCGTGGACTGAGTCGATGGAGCGACACCGGAGGGAGGGAGCCAGTGGCGAGACTTCCGGGACAAAGTGTCCCCTTCGCTCCTGCGCGTTGTTAAGGTCATAGTCGATTTCTTTTGTTTTGATGTAGTCGATTGATATAAGTTATATAAGTTTCAAGTGTCGCGGTTTTCACCAAGGCGGCTCGCAAAGCAGCTCCCTGGAACAAGATGAATCAGAAGCAAAGGCCAGTAACGAGGGAATTTCACATGGGGTAAGCCAGATGATGAAGCCCGCGGTGAACGCACTTTGTGATTTGATCACTGCCGACTTTCTTGTGATGCAGCGAATGGCGCAGGAAGAATTGCACGATGCATCCCAGTTGCAGGCAGCCTGTAGGGGGAAGAGCGTGTGGAGATTTTGGATGTGCTCCCCTGCAGTCAGAGCTCGGCATCTTCAGGCTGCTGGCAAAACAGCCAAGCTAGGGAGTTGGAGAAAATGTCAACTTCTGAGTGACAATATTCGAGCACTTGGGCTCCTAGACTTGGACTGATATATCCTTTCGGCCATGGGCAGTTGCATAAAATTGATTGAGAACCAGCTCTGTATCCCTCCCCTGAACCGTCAGGATGGCCAGCTCTCATCAGAGCGGCTTTGGTTGCACTTAGCTTGCAAGCGGTTGCAGTTGGCTTTCAGAGTGGTGAAAGACATGGGCTTTTCCGAGATGTGGATGGATGGAGAAGCCTCCAAGCATCCGTTCCTGTTTGGGTCCATTTTGTCTGGGGCAGTCAGAGATCTGGCATCTTCCTTACCGATTCACATGTTAAGCGTGTAGAAGCTGGGAGCCAGCCGTTTCTCGGAGCGGACGAGAACGGATGCAGTGACATGCTATGGCTTCATATCTATGGCTTCCTGTTGGTGTTTTTTCACACTCGTTGCATCAGTTGGGGAGGACCTCCCAGGTGACTATCCATCCCGGACGGACGCCCCGGAACGAAAGCTGGGATCTCGGCTACTCAGGACAGGTGCCCAGTGCATGTGGCCGGTCGAGGCCCATGCTGTTTTTCCTCCTGGCGCCTGCGTGCCTCGACCAAATCATGCCCGAAAGAGAAGGATAAAACCATGGTGACTTTCTCCAGGTGAAAAAGACCGGGGACTCCAAGCAATACTTTGAGGGGCTGGTAGGGGCTGGGCTGAAGAGTCTTAGGTTCTCCTCCCTTCTATATTCAATTTTGGATTGTTAATTTTTCAGTGTCTCTTCTTCACCACGCAGTTTTCGTGCCTAAATGGTGACAGATCATAGAGATCGGACCTCCTTGGAATGCGGTTGGCTTGGAGGCGTGGAGGCTTGCAGCCTGCTAGGCACAGAGTGTCCTAGCCTGCTCGGCACGTCTGTAGTTTGTCTTTTTGATTGATTTCCAGCCATGGCCATCAGTTCTGCTGCGCTGGACCCCGAGTCCCCCAAAGCCCGCGCGGCACGCCTGGCGTCTGTGAACGACTTCCTGAACCGTCACGGCTTTAGTGAGGTAAATGCCTTGCGAGACACCAGTGATGTTCATCAGAAGATTCGCGTTCAACAGCTCTATCCACTGGATGTAGCTGAAGAACTGGGAGATGAACGCATGATGAGCTTCCTCAAACAACTGGGGGCGACCAAGCGCTCCAAAGAAAAGGCGAGCATTTTTAGTGTCCCACGGATGATTGTGTTTAAGCTTTGTACCTTTTTTCATGCTCTTCGGCCGTTTTCCTTTGGGGGTTCCAAAATAAAGGTGGGGTTGTAAAGGTTGTAAACCAATTGGTGCAGAGACGTTGTTCGCGCGACTTTCCGAGGCTTTCGGCACACGTTCCTGGAGTTCTTTGGCAAGCCTCCGCTCGACACTCTCAAGCAAATCCAGCCGATCCAGCGAGTCCGAGTCGTCCGAGTCGAGACTTTCGAGCCCCCGCTGCAAACGTAGTTGCCTCGTGCGCTCGATTCGCGAATCCCTGGATGAGGAGGTGATGACTGTATACGTCTGAGCATGTCTGAGTGAAGCTGGCAAAAGGTCCGAGTCCTTTTTATCTTCCGCAACCTGTTTGTGGTTGCGCTTGAATGCAGCTGGAGCACAGAGGACCACTTGGAGGCTTTTCCCCGGCCTCCCTCTTGCTAGAGGCAGAGTGGCTGAAAGCCAAAGTGGTTCACTTCCAGAGCTGTTCAAACCCGGAAGAAGCGCCGAAAAACAATTATCAAGACAACAGAGGCTGCCGGCTGCCCAGGCCAGCCCTCCTCTCTTAAAGAGAGGAGTGCAAGACATGTTGTTTCAACAGTCCGTGGATTCGTAGATGTGGCCCCTTTGCAGTTGGAGCACCACTCTCACTGTGGAGCGGTGGCTTTGTTTCTTGTTCCCTAAGATGCAATGTGCCTTCCTAATGGTAGATTCCTCCAATCATAAGACTAGTTTTGAGACCTAGGCAAAGCAAGAATAAGCAGCATGTGACAGCATCTGTCAAAACGAAAGCAGTTGGGAAAGGAAACACCCTTTTGAATGACTTTGGAGGAGAAATTTGAAAGTTCCCACAAGTAGTGAAGGATCATGACTTGACAGGGAGGGGGCCCGACAAGACTGTTTAAAGGAGAAAGAAAGCTCTTCAACAATGGCAGTCGTTCAGCACCTATTCACGCTATTTCACACTCCTCCATGAAAACACAATGACAAGCACAAACAAGAACGAATTATATACTGTTTTTCATTGTCTTTCCAGATGTCTTACCAGGTCCTCAAATGGCCAGCCTCATCGTAGGATTCTTTCCTTTCTGGTCGAACGCGCGACGCCGATGCGACCGGTTCGGTTGAAAGATGTTCGACCCCTCCGGTGACGGGCTAGTGATGGCCAGAAGACTCATGAATTCTACGAAGACCTAGGACAATTAGCACAACGCCTATATGTGAAGATCTTTGGATGTGAATTACTAGTAAAGCGCAGTGTGCTTGAGTCTCTTTTTGATTTAAACTCAAACTAGTAGTAACAAGAAGCTACTAGTAACAAGTGCATCGCTACTAGTAACAAGTGCCTTACTAGTAGTAACAAGAAGCTACTAGTAACAAGTGC